TAGTAGTAGTAGTAGTAGTAGTAGTAGTATAGTAGTATTGCTATTCCCCAGCTATGCCTTGGTAGTGTGTGTAGTTGCCTTGCAGATTTGCGATCATTGAGCAATCCAGCCAAAAGCATGTACATTATCTACAACACCTTAGGACCAATTGTGACTTTTCTCACCAACCAAAATGTAGCAAATGCATTTCATGGGAAAAGACAGTCTGCTCTATGGTTGAAGGAAAGGATTAAAATGTTCACACATCTGCTTACACCCTGTGTTTTCTTCACATACAAAATGTTCACACATCTGCTTACACCCTGTGTTTTCTTCACATACCATCACGTTAGAATACATTAAAGTGTACCTAGAGACAAAACGTTTTTGTTTATTTTTGGATAGAGCAGGTAAAGTTTAGAACCTCTATAGGGTTCCCTACTGTCCATTACCATACCCTCTCAAAAACCAATAAAGCTATAATTAAATCAGGAATAGGGAAGGAAACCTTCAATGGGGACAGTTTTTCTACTGACAATTGTATATATGAGATTTCCCTCATTTAATTATTGATTATTTATTTAGAAAAGATTTTCACTCACTGTCTTTTGGGTCTAGATGACAGGAAGTGAAGAGACATCCCTAATGGGGCACAGATAACCGAAAAAACCCTGATAAAGAAATTTTTTTCCTTTATCCAAAACTAAAAAAATATTTTCTGGCTTTAGATGTACCGTATTTTAACCTATATTTATTTTTCTTAAATTTGCCTCAGTTAGGTACCTTAGCTTGTAAGCTCCTTGAGGGCAGTGACTGATGTGAATGTAAAAAATATGTATGGAAAGCGCTGCGTAAATTGACGACCCTACATAAGTACTTGTACTAATAATAATATTAATAATAAATCTGATATTGGTTCTTTGAAAAAAAAACAGACCAAAGGAAATGGAACATTTCCAAAACTATTAAATGTTATAAAAAAGTTACAAGGGGTTGCTGTAAAAGCTTTACATTTTGACATGATCTTTAGAGTATCTATGGTGTTGTCTACCATAAAAGCACACCTCCTGTGAGTTACACACTAGACAGAGAAAATCTGCTGCTGTTTTTATTGTATAGTCTTAGGCAGACCATACATTAGTCATTTTCTTTTTGTTCAACCAGTGCGTTGAACGAAAAAAAAAAATTATCTGATTTCCACATCCACACAGTTGATGTGGATGGGGGAATCTATCACGTTGAGTTATTGTATTCTGACAGTGAGGAGACTTCCCCACCATCAGAACACACTGATTAGTGCTGCTGTAGCTAGTGGCACAGATTGATCTGGAAAAACCAGACAAGGTGGTTGTACAGAAGTCGATCTACCAGTCAAATTCTGTACAACCCACCTACCCATAAGTGTATCAAAATGTGTCCACTCTTTGCTGAACTGGCTGACTTTTGTTCCATTGTAAGGCCATGTTTTTAGGATAATTGGGTATTTTTTTAAACATCTTCATTTTTTACACATATTTTTCTTAAGTATTTGTATCTCACATATCAACGTAATTATTATGCTACAATCAGAGCCTTCTTACAGAGTCAAGCAAACGTAGTTTTGTGTTTATCTAATATAGTATTAGAATTCCCTTGATTCAACAAACTTTCTTTCAGGTCCTCTGTTTTTAGTTTTTTTCCATGTAATTGCTTAACGACATGATAAGCTCAGAGAAAGAAAATATGAGCAGTTTCTACCAGGAGGTTGCTATAAAGAATGCAGTGTTGACTAATTGTTGTTTAATGTCTGCGCTCCATGTGGGGATCCCATTCCTAATGTTTGTCCTTTGATCTTACAGAGAAACCAGTCAGCTTGACTTACCGATGTCCCTGCAGATACTTTGAAACCAACGTGGCCAAGAGCAATATCAAACACCTGAAGATCCTCTCCACCACCAACTGCTCACTGCAGATTGTGTAAGTATAAACAAACAACGCACATACTTTAAAAAGGAAAAATAAAGGCATGTCTGAAATGTCCCTTAGAAGTAAACGCAAAGCAAAATATAAAAAAGAACCCATTTTTTTGGTTGTGTATTAATTCAAAAATCATTAAGGAGAAGAAGTTATGACTGGGCTTACACAAGAAGCTAACCGTTAAGTCATAAAATATTGTAATTGTGTAGACTTATGAACAATTTCCTTTTCAGCTTCTCTTAGTTTGCTTGAATCTAGCTCTGCAAAATGTTTTTGAACTTGATGCCTGTCTGTACCCAAGCCTTTAACCTCCCTGGCGGTATGATCATGTCAGGAATTTTGTGCTGAAAGCGGTACCATTTTTTTGCATGGAAATATGTAGTTTTTAATTGTAGGCTGTAATTTTTAGGAATAACTCACTGAAATCTATCCGAAAAAGAGTCTATTAAACATTCCGGATATGATAAAACTTGAAACACGAAATCATAAATTTTAATTTAATAAATAATCATAAAAAATAATAATATAATAATAATACATTTAATTCAATAATATAATCAAACCAAAAACACTGAAATTTGAAATACAGAGGCAAATTCGCACATCGCTGAGCAAAGTTGCAAAATCGTTTTCAGTGTCTGATGACGAATTTCCCCACAAATCATTATCACTCAATTCTGCAAGTGGCTCTGATTTACTATCGCTGTTCTAAAACCGCTTTTGACGTAAAGGGATGCTTTTTGGCCGCCATGGACTTTTCTAAGTTTCCAGGCAGAAAGAACAGTCAAAATGCAGGCAGGGCACAGGACAAAGCAGTAGGGACAAAATGTATGTGAAATGCAGTGAAAAAGCAATGACAGCAAAAATGTCATTTTTTAAAAATTTCAAATTTCCCGCCGGTTCCCGCCGCCCGAACGTTCCGACGTCACGGGGACCGGAACACGGAAGCCAGATGCCGGCATCCGCCGGAGGAGATGGACGGGGACGCTGCAGGGGACCCATCGTGGGAGCGAAGGACAAGGTAAGTGCTGCAGGGACCCCCAGAGAACGCTGCATGGTAAGCCCGAGTGTAGCTCGGGGTTACCGTTCTTGGTATAGAAATTCTACCCCGAGCTACACTCGGGAAAACCGCCAAGGAGGTTAAGAACACAATATAATGATAAATAACAAGGACTGGTAGGGATTGAGTTGCTAAAGTAGTAGAATGTTTGGTGAGTTCACTAAAGCTGCATGCACTTCAATCATCCAATCCTGTGCAAGTAAAATGGCTGTTTCATTTCTTTCTTTTTTTTAATTCCCTTTTACATAGTTGAGCACTGGTTCACTGGTTCGCTTGGTTAAATCTCCACACCTTTCAAACCTCGTACACATGATGAGAATATTGGACGAATGATCACCTGTTTTTTTTTTTGCATGCTAGCGAAAACGAAGAAGGTTACTAAAGTTACGAAAACTCTCTAACAGAATACACCTTCAGAAGTGATGTATTGTATTGTAATGTATTCTTTTTTTTCTGAGCATGCATGGTGTTGCTCTTCCATTTTTTTTTTTTTTACCGGAAAAATAATGTACTGAATAAACAAAAATTGTATGATCAGGTATCATGCAAAATAATTTTCGTGTTTGTCTGTTTGAATCAGATCATATGATCCCTTAAGCAGTATTTTTTGGCCAATTTTCTGATCATGTGTACTAGGTTTTAGTGAGTCGACTCTGTAGTGTAAAACAGGCATGTTAATTGGAAATTAAACAATGGGCCACATTGAGTGAAATGACTCTGCAAGAGGCCCCAGTAAGGTTCTGATGGCCACTTCTATTGAATTCCACAAAAGCTGACAACACTTGAAATACTAACATTATAGTAATACAACTTACAACAGCCTTTATACAGTGTAGAGCAGTTGGGGCCACAATCAGCTATATTTATTATTCATTTAATACACTAATATAGCGCTATCAATTTATGCAACTCTTTACAAAAATATTTTGCACATTCACATCAGTTCCTAACCTTCAGTACAATCTAAGGTTCCTAATTCACATTCATACATACGCATACTAGGGCCAAATTAGACAGGAGCCAATTAACCTACCAGCATGTCTTTCGAGTGTGGGAGGAAATCAGGGTGCCCAGAGGAAACCCAAGTGCAAGTGCAAGGGACACTTGCTGCATACCAGTTTAACATACTCAATATAAAGAACTGTAAGCAATTATAAGGTAATTATAAGGCTCATTTAAGTGACACTGTTATGCAGACTCGGAAGTTACATGAGGTTGGGCAGTACAACTGTTAGACATCAAGTAACAGCTGACCCCTGAATTTTACGTTAAAGGTTCAAACTCAAATTAAGACAAATTAAGTGATATTAAGGGAGAAAGATAAATTATTAATAATCTTAGGGCTTATTTACACCTGAGGTATTTTCTTGAGGCTTGTTGCTCTTTGCAACCAAATCAGATTAAATGTTATTTCAAATATCTATATATGTCAGAGTGATATTTTGTAATGCAGCTTAAAATTATTTCCCATACTGAAATGTTAGGTTCTAGTGAATGCAGGAATTCTAAATGATCTTATGGCATATCTGAAAATGTGGCAAAAGCTCAAAGATTGAGATTTTGACAACATTGCAGAGATCCAGAAATTTATCCAGTTTCACGTAGAATTTCATGTTTGTTCTCTTTGTTCAAAATTAAATATTTATTTTGCGATTTCGTTCAAATTTTACGTTTAGCAATAAATGTTTTAGCAAATTTACTCTATTTAGTTCACATGCATATTAGTTTGTTTTGAACAAAACAGAATGTTTTAGAGCTGTATTTTTATATGACCTGCCTTCACATAATCTCAGCTCTAGTCAATGTTCAAGTGATCAATATTTTTTTTTTGTTATATTTCTAATGTAGGATGCTACAAGGTCCTGAATGTTAGAGGTCTCTTTAAAGCATAGCATTTACAAGTTTGGTCCCCATTGATAATGGATGTTTATCTGCCTTCTGTACTAGTTTTTCACTAAAACTTTTACCCTAACCTTGTTGCTCCATAGGGCTCGTCTGAAGCATAATGGAAAACAAATTTGCTTGGACCCCAAGATTAAATGGATCCAGGAGTACCTGGAGAAAGCTTTGAACAAGTAAGCAGGAGACAGCAGATGTACAGCTTCCACCTCGACATGAAATGTGTTAAGACACATCATCCATGGGCACCTACACACCTGTAACCAGGAATCTTGTAATGTATCTTGTGCTGAGCCTCATTACCCTTATGCTGCCAAGGGCCTGAGGGTTCTCCTTCACATTGCCGGGACATCCTTAATAAGCAGAACCTGACACAGTCAGAGTCTTAGAGGTGCCTTCAAAACAATCAAAACCATAGGGGAAACCCATTCAGCTATACATTGCAAGGTTCAGACATTTGTGCTGTGAGCTTTAATTTCAAATTTGTAAGTTTGGAAGGGTAGACATTATCAAAAGTTAAAAATGTCTTTCGAGCTCTGAACCTTTCAAAATCCATGCATTCATCATTTTTGCTCTTGCTTTTTCTGCCTCTACATATAAATATATATTTACATATATATATATATATAAAAAATATATTTAATATAGCCTTTGTTACTTTTTGAGCTGTGATGGAAGGAGGTTGGAATATGCCTTGCAGTTAATGACATATCTATAATAGGGACTAAGTCACAGCTTTCATTAAATGTAGGTAAGGGTGCTGCGTTTGTGTAGGTGGAGTGTGGGCAGATAATCAGCTTTCCTGAAAAAAAAAAAACACTTTACCTTTTACAGGTACTATTGTTTGGTATAACAGCAGGCACATGGTACTGTCAAGATAGGCATAGAGATATATATATGGCTTTTTTAGTATGTAATAAACCTAAAGCCTTAAAAATATGTTAACACTGTTTAATATGTTATCATGTAACAGTACAAAGTGATTATAGTTTCAGAAACCAAACTTTTTTTGCTACTTTTTTCAAAGTGAAAGGGGTTTTGCAGCTGCCTCCATGTTTAATTTTGAGGTTCGCAGAAATGTAGTCACCATCTGTTCCCACTCTCCACAGATTGCACAAAGAAAACCCCTTTCCAGCTGCCTCCGGGGTTTTGTGAATATTTTTTTAACCTGCATCAAAACATTGGGTTTGTTTTTATGCCAAAACTGAACAAGCAAGTGCCATAATACAAACATAGGAAGAAATACCATTGCTTTGTAGTCATTGGAGTGTTCTGTTAACAGACCGGAAAGGCCCGCTCAAGAATTGGAGATGTTTAAGTGTAACGTCTCTCACAGCACTTCCATTCTCTTTCATTTCTCTCAAACCATATTATTATTACAAGACAAGATGCAGCAGCAGATGATTGGAATTTAAAACTGAAGGATCTATCCAATTGTAATGTTCAAGTTGTAGATAGAGCTTTTGCGTTGATGCAGCCCCCTGGCATGTTCTGTGTCTTAGTTTCGACTTCTGTTGCTGTCCACCTGGGAATTTTGGTTGTTTCTGACATGTTTCTGCAACTCCCATTATATTTCCATAAAGTAAAATAGGTTCCCTCAAAATTGGCAAAAGTAGGTGTGCAGACTCAGAAGTGACGTACAATTCAACAATACAGTCCTCATGAGATGCAAGTAGGCTAATTAACTGTCAAGCATCTGCCAAAAACTGGAATATCTGTTTCAGGTAGACTGAACCTTGATCTAAATGTCTAATAGTGTAATTATGGATTTGCTAAACATATAAAACAGGGCTAGGATTCAATATTTTCCTAGCTTCTTCGTAAACACCTGTCCTGGTACATTTCTAATACAAAGAAACATACTTTTAACATTCAACTACAGATTCCTATTGCTTTTAAATTAAAAAGGCAGTGTTGTCAGACTACTTTCACAGGTCTGATAAAAAGTAAAGAATAACAAAGCAGTGCAAAGGTCAGTGGTTATGACAATATTTATAGCAACCTAATATACTTCATCTTGGAGCAGTCTGAACAATGAAAATTTACTTCTCTTTGGTTGCTGCAACTGTAGATTGCACATTGGTTTTTGCCTTATTAAATAAACTGAGAAATTATAAGGTCTTATGGAGGTCCCATTTTACACTGATGATGGCAATGTTGAGAGAATCAGAAATGTTTTCCCTTGAAATATTAGAAGAAAACATACCTCTGTCTCATCTTACATTCAAAAAGAAGTGTTGGTGCAGAGGATATGCTCCATGGAGCATCATTGTTTTTAGATGAAGATCCTGTGATATTGCTGTATGACAGAAACCACAGGAACTATGAGTGGGCATAGATAGTGAAACCTCTTCCACATAAGTTTACTCTCTTAAAAAAAAAAAAATGCTTGATTCACAGACAAATACATGCCACCTATGAGCACTAGTGGACTTTCCAATAAGACAAAGGACAATGCAAACCATGTTAAAACATAAAGCAACCAATCAGAAGTCTTCTTTCATGGATGTATCTACATTTAGCTGAAATGTTCTGGACTTTTTTGATATCTTAATCCATATCTTAATGTGGTTTTACTTGACCATTTTTCTTGCACTGCCTCATTAACTAACCCCATATAGCACTTGTATTTTTGCAAGAAAAAGAAAGACTACAGTCACACAAGTGTCCCTTAAGCTTTAAAAAAATGACTTGTGCAACTTTAGACTTTTGGTAACCCTATTGAATAGATTGCAAATTCTGCTGTCCTTTACATTATGGGACTCAATTTCACTTCAAATACATAATCAAGTTCAAGCCAAATTGCTATTTTCATTTCTGGTGAACCCAATTGGTTATTTAATGTAAATATGTACTAATGTGATATGTTCTCATTAATAGACCACTGTGTACTGCTCTCCTTCTGACAGCTTCCTGTGATATTTTACCGTTACTCACCAATATAAGGCAGCATTTAAACTTGCCTCCCAAAAGTAATATTATTGTATAGCAAATACAAAAATGTTTGCACCCACCTTAAAATCTTCTCAACCCAAGCTGCTGTATAAATATTTGAATGATATTAAAAAAACACTTTATATGCAATATACAGAAAGTATGTTGCATATAAAATAATTTTTGTTGTATGTCTAATCTGGCCCATGTGGCTGTAATACAAGAGGATCAGATTCACATAAGAACAGCTTGTCGTTTTCTTGTGTGAAGGAAATCTGTAACTAACACCTGCATACAGCCTGGTAAGGGGTATTCATAGTAACTCTGCTTAACAGACCAACATAAAACGAGGTCAGCAGTAATGAAGCAAAAACATCTGGTTGGATTCTCTCAACTTAGGCACTACTCCCTTTACCCTCCTGACTCCCAAATGAATAAATTGTGAGGAGTCCTGTGGAATCATACAACTATTATCACACACTGAGTGCCTGGGCTGTTTTTTGTCTCTCCTCTGCCCCCTGACCTCACTACAGGATATGGCTGCTCCTGTGTGCAAGGCCTTGCTTTAATTACAGACACTCAAAGAGGTGCATAAATTAGCTGCCCCAGCAGTACTTCTGAGATTTGCCTGCAAGGAACCAGAAGAGTTATGACCTCTTAACACATTAATTGCCAAGTAATGTGCAGTTAGACATTCTGACACAGTAAGAGGCTAGATCCAAACCCACAAAATGTACCATTACAATGCTCTAATAGTACATGTTGTGGGTTCCTAAACTATACTCCAGTTCAGAGTAGTTGTTGCTTCATTCACCTCTATAATTTAATTTTTTTCTTTTTTTATAATAGTGACATGGTTTTTACATGATTTTCATTGAACTGGATTAATATGGGCTAAATAGAGCTTAAAATAGGTATAATATTAGGCAATACACTATGAAGCAAGCATCTCCAACAGGTGTTTTATTACAGTCATATATGAAGCCTCCAAGATGTATTTTGCAGCAGTGGGAATAATGGAGTACACACTGGCAGTCATGTCTGACATGCTTCTTCAAATGACTCTAATTTTACACTTTACTATAAGTATGCCAATCCAAATGTATCTTTCACTATTTACTTATCTCTGTGAACACAAGTTTGTTGATCTGTGGGATAGTTCTTGATACACTTTGAAAGAAAGTGTATGCTTGATACTAGACCATACTAACCTTGTACTGTGAAGTCTTCATACATATACTATACAACTTACAATGACAAAAATAATATAATAGGTTGCGTTATCAAATACGTTTTTTTTTATATTCACATGACCTGTGAATCGGTCTCTTAAGAAAAATATATGAGTACATAACTGGGTGTTTGAAGAAAACACCGGCTCACAGGGCTAAAGGGTCAATTCACTAAACTGAGCTTTAAAGTGGAGTTAGTTGTTAATTGCTAGTAATTAATTGTTAATATTCAAAGCAAACTCCTCCATCCATCCATGTCATCCATACTTTATTTTGTTGAGAAATCACTTTGAAAAACACTACCCCCCTAGCATTTCTGGGATGTATGACATCATTTTGGCCTAGGCCATGGGACAGGAAGATGAAGTTTAAAACAAGAAAATATAATATATTTCTAAGTATTTACTAATGATAGCAGCTAAAGAATAAAAAAATAGTTGACTGAGAGAGTTTGAACCCGCTTTAAGTATGTTGATCATTTTATCCTATGATCATTTTCCTAATTCACGAACAAAGCTATCAATAGGTGTGGTATTTTAATTTTATTTTGCATAAAACAATAATAACTGTATTTTATGGCTACAGTTTCTCCAACAGAAATAAAGAATAAGAACTTTGCAATAGTATTTGTGAATTTACTATTATGTACAGAAATCCATGAATTTACATGCTTGTAGGAGATACTACAAGTATGCATTATTAATGCATTATCTATGCATTAAACCTTTTATCAAGGTGAAAAGAATTGTCATAAAACTGAAAAACCAGACATTAAAAAAAAATCATGCGTGCATTATGCTTTAGTGAATTGACCCTGAAGAAAGTGAAGAAAACTGCTTTTTAGTAATTCTCCCTTTATGCCTTTTATCCCCGGAAAGGGATGGGTTGTGCATTTGAGGTTAGGAGTAATATATATGAACAATGCTGGTTTAAAGTTCTGCGCGTGTTATTCATTTTAAAATGGAAAGAATGTAAATTCATGTAAACCAAAACCTGAAATGTTTTG